AGTGGCAATGTCATGTAGGCGCCGATTATTCAACGTCGGTAGTTTGGCGCGACTTAGCAGTTCTTGATAGGACGCTGGTCTAGTTTTGTACACCGCCCAAAGTGCTCGCTCCTGAATCCGCTCAAGCTTTCTCCGATCCGATGCATTACAAAAGTGCCATACTAAATGACAGTAGGTTAGATGGGGCAGAATTGAAGACCTGTAAAGTGCTAGTTTAGCATTACAGGGTATCAAATTGCGTAGCCGCACTAGGACCCCCACTTTTTGACTGGCCTTAGAGCATAGATCACTGATATCACTAGTAAAACTCAATTTTTCATCGATTTGAACTCCTAAAAGCCGTATTTCCCCCATTCTGTTTAATCTGTTCCACGAGAAAATATATGTGATGAATTAATTAAAAATGCATATGAAAAAATTTAGATACGCGGGTTCTTAATTATGCGAAAGCAAAACTCGGGAATCACCTAACATAAATAATTCATTGAAACTTTGTCATTAAATTGGGGTATTGTAAAATGTATGTCTGTCTGTATGTATTGTATGTATTTACGATATTTAGACAGGCCAGCCCATTTCAGCTTAAAGCTGGTTTAAATGGGGGCCTGTACATCCCACCAACCCACCCCAGGGGAGGAAATTACTTATGTGGGAAATTAACGTCTCCTACCCCAACCCTGCAGGAGACGGGACCTCCATTTATTCATCCTTATCCGAGAGGACTAGAATATCTAACCATTTCTTGATGTTATAGAAAGGAAAGCAAATTGTCCTCAATTATTTTAAGACCTTGAGTGTTGGTCCGGCCGGGGCTCGAACCCTCGAGCTCCCGCACAGCAGTCCAGCGCACTATCCATTGGGCTAACTGGGCGGCGGTAAAAAACGCGATTTCATATCATAACTGACCGTAAATAGCAAACTACACGTTTTAAGGTACTAAGCGAATGCGCATTTAACTTATTTGCGGGATGGACTTGTATTTAGATGTAAAGGTTTTTAGAAGTATGTGATTCGAAAATTGTAGTTCAAATCAAGTAGCGATGAGAATCATCTAATGAGAAAAAAAAAACGCATATACAAGTAAAAGTAAATTGCTACCGGCGTTACGTCACTCTTACATGACATCAGCCAAACACGCGAACTAAAAGTAGTACTGTAGAAAGTAGTACAACAGAAAGAAAAAAAAATACAGTTACTTGAAAATAATGAGAAACGCGAATTCCAATTGGTATAATGACCACCAATAAAATGTCTTTATATTTTCTTGTTGACAACTTAATGTACAAAAACTCGCTCGAAAATATTATTACCATTGATTTCGGGAGACAAAGACTTGGCTTACATTTTGATTGCAAGATAATTGTTACTTTGTTTGACGGGTTCCGCTATAGAGGGCCAGTTCCGTACAGGTGGAGGACTTTACATAAACAATCACAATTTTAGGACTCTTTTGGCAAAAGTAGCACTGCCAGCGTTAGAGTATATCAACCATAGCAAGAGAATAGAAACTGAGAGAACTCATTCCACATGCATACCCCTCTTCCAATGATGTAAATGGAATGCAGATTTAGGAAGAACTAACGGAGAGAGAGACGGATTTATTTTAGCCATGAACCACGTACTAAGTTCGAATTAAATGTCACGCAAGATATAGGCTGCGAGCCTGCTCTTCCTGTTTCAATTTGGTTTGTTCAGTCAGCGGAGAAAACTCAGCGTTGCGCGAGCGGAAACATCGAAAAGGTATGCCTCCTCATTTCGTGTTA